ATCTGGCTGGCTCAGTTGGTAGAGCATGCAACTTGATCTTGTGGTTGTGAGTTCGAGCCCCTTGTTGGGGCTTAAATCTTTAAAATAAAATCTTTAAAAATGAAATCTTTAAAAAAATAAAGCAATTTTTGATAGGTATGTACTTAATGTCATTTTGTTAATTGTTTTCTGGTTATTTTTGTAGCTCCTCTCTGTTCCTTTCTTCTTTTGCTTCCTTCCATTGTAATTTGATAACTTTTTTTTAGTGTTGTGTTTTGTTTCTTTTCTCATTATCTTTTATGTATCTACTGTAAATTTTTCCTTTGTGGTTACTGTGAGATTCACCTGTCTCATTCTATAGACATAGAAGTCTATTTTAAGTTGGTATTAAGTTGAGTTTGAGCACATTCTAAAAACTGTAACTTTTTACTTTGCCTCCACCCTTGTGTTTTGTGTTTTTGAAGTATCTTAAATATTTTTGTTTACCCCTTAATTTACTATTGTAGTTACAGTTGATTTTACTACTTTCGTCTTTTAAACTTCACAGTAGATTTACAAGGGACTAATCTACTACCTTTATATTTGCTTTCCCAGCACAGTTTTTACTTATATAAATACATATTTTCTTGTTATTAGCTAGTGCTTCTTCTTTTCAGCTTGAAGAATTTCTGTAACATTTGTTGGAAGGCCAGTTTAGTGGTGATGAATACCTTTAGCTTTTACTTGTCTGGAAAACTCTTTTTCTTTCTTTCAGTTCTGAATGATAAACTTCCTGCATAGAGTATTCTTGGTTGGAAGTTTTTTTTTCCCCCTTTCAGTATTTGGAATATATCATGCCACTTTCTTCTGGCCTGTAAAGTTTCTTCTGAAAAATCAGCTTATAGTCTTATGGGGCTTCCCTTTTATGTAGCAAATGGTTTTTCTCTTGCTGCTTTTAAGATTCTCTCTTTTTCTTTTAACTTTTGACAATTTAATTACAGTGTATCTTGGTGTGGGTCTCTGAATTCTTCTTATTTGGAGCTTTCTATGCTTCATGGACCTGGATGTCTCCTTCCTTCCTTAGGTTAGGGAAATGTTCAGCCATTATTTCTTCAAAAAAGTTTTTGCCCCTTTTCTCATTCTTTCTCTTCTCTTTCTGGGATGTAAATGTTATCCTGTGTGATGTTGTTTTATGAGTCTCTTAAATTATCTCCACTTTTTAAAATACTTTTTATTCTTTTTGTTCCTGTGTTTGGCTGAGTTCCATTGCCTTGTCTTCCAGGATGATCTGTTCTTCTGCTTCATCTAGTTTGTTGTTGAACTACTCTGATGTATTTTTAAGTTCAGTTATGATATTCTTCAGCTCTGTGACTTCTGTTTAGTACTTTCTTAATATTTTCTATCTTTTGAAGTTCATCCATTCTTCTTTCAAGTTCTGTATCTTTTTTTTTTTTTTTAAAGATTCTATTCATTTATTTGACAGAGAGAGAGATCATAAGTAGGCAGAGAGTCAGGCAGAGAGAGAGGGGGAAGCAGGCTCTCCGCTCAGCACGGATGCTGAGGCAGATGAGGGGCTTGATCCCAGGACCCCGAGATCATGACCTGAGCTTAATCCACTGAGCTACCCAGGTGCCCCTCAAGTTCTGTATCTTAATGACCATTGCTTGAACTCTTTATCAGGTAAGTTACTTACCACCAGTTCATTAAATTTTTTCCTGGGGTGTTATCTTGTTCGTTTGCTTGGAACATATTTCTGGGTTCCCTCATTTTGCTTGTCTCTCTACGTTCATTTCTGTGTACCAGGCAAATCACCTACCTCTCCTCATCTTGAAGGAGTGATTTTGTGTAGGCGATGGACCTTATCATTCAACCTTACCCTAGCTCTTGGCTGTCTCTCAAACTTTTGTGATTGTTTAAGCAGGCTGCTTTATCCTTGGTCCCAGTTGTTGGGATTGTTTCAAACCCTGACAGTGTTCCAAAGGAAGGGATCTCAGTCAGCATTTATTTTCTGGCTGACTGGAAACCAGGCCCTCAGTCAGCCCCTTTTAAAGTATGCAAATATATACAGTCCTGTGTGACCATAGTTGTAACCTTTCCTGGGTCTGCAGACCAAGTGATTTAGAGATGTCTTCTTGGCAACAGTTGAAAAATCAGGGCTCCAGATGAGTGAATAAGCTCTTTCTGGGAAGTACCTGCAAGCCGTAGTGAGGCTAAGGGAGAGTACAAAGGTGGCCGCCTCTGGCCCATATTTTCTGAGAGCTCCTCTGTGGTTTGTCGATGTATGGTAAACCTGAAGCCTGCCCCTCTGGCTAATGCTCCAAGACAAGTAAATGCACCTTTTCCATAGGAACACTGGGGGTGTGTTTCAGTCTCATGTTTCTGCTTTGCCCTGGGAGCTGTAGCCTGCCAAGAACTATCTCACCTATTCCAGTTCCATGGAGCCCAGCAACAGAGTCTGCCCTGGCCACCAGAGATAAGGGCTTAAGGGGTCACCCGTGTGTGGACTGCATGTGCCCACTGGCTTCAGTTGACTCCATGTGAAGCCTAGGACTGGGGAATCCCACCACCTTCATAGTGCTTTGGGACAGTCCAGGGTGGAACAGGGCTGCCTACTGGCTGAAGTGGGACTTTGGGAGAAGGGGGTGGTGGTGCCATTGCAGGTCTAGCAGAAGCTTTAAGATTAGCTAATGAGGGACGCCTGGGTGGCTCAGTTGGTTGAGCAGCTGCCTTCGGCTCAGGTCATGGTCCCAGCGTCCTGGGATTGAGTCCCACATCGGGCTCCTTGCTCATCAGGGAGCCTGCTTCTCCCTCTGCCTCTGCCTGCCATTCTGTCTGCCTGTGCTTGCTCTCTCTCCCTCTCTCTCTCTGACAAATAATTAAATTAAAAAAAAAAAAAGATTAGCTAATGAATCTCCTTCTCATGTGGTCTAAGTGCTTTTTAAACTGTTGCTTTTGTGCTGGTTCCATGGTTAAGTGAGTCTGTGTGTGAGCCCTTTAAGAGTAAACATTCTCTCTCCCACACAGGCTCCCACACGGCCTTTTGGTTCTCTTGGATGTAAACCTGTTGTTTTTCAAAGTCAGGTATTTGGGGGGCCCATTTCTCTGGTGCAGGTCCAAGGGTTGTGATGCCTGGTGTAGGGCACAAATACATTCCTCAGAGAGATGCTCTACATTTGTGAGATCCCTGCCACAGTTGTTGTGGGTCCCTACATTGGGGGTAGGGTTTTTGATGAGACCATCTCCTACCTATCTCAGTGTTTTGTTTTGTTTTGTTGTTTTTTGTTTTTTGTTTTGTTTTGTTTTGTTTTTGGTTGTTGTCATCGTCCTTTGTCGTGGAGGAGATGTTTGGCTAGTTTTCAGGTCTTTATCAAAGGGAATTCACTCACAGTGGCTATAGATTGGGTGTGTTTATAGAAGGTGAGTTCAGAGTATTGCTGTGCAGCCATCTGAATCCAATCCCCTTAACCGTGTCCATAAATACTTTTAATAAATAGAAAAACATTTTCTTTTCTTTTTTTTTTTTTTAAAGATTTTATTTATTTATTTGACAGACAGAGATCACAAGTAGGCAGAGAGGCAGGCAGAGAGAGAGGAAGGGAAGCAGGCTCCCTGCTGAGCAGAGAGCCCAACGCGGGACTCGATCCCAGGACCCTGGGATCATGACCTGAGCCGAAGGCAGCGGCCTAACCCACCGAGCCACCCAGGCGCCCTAGAAAAACATTTTCTTTTTTTTTTTTTTTTTAAAAATTTTTTTTTTTTATTTGTCAGGGAGAGAGAGAGGGAGAGAGAGCAAGCACAGGCAGACAGAATGGCAGGCAGAGGCAGAGGGAGAAGCAGGTTCCCTGATGAGCAAGGAGCCCGATGTGGGACTCGATCCCAGGACGCTGGGATCATGACCTGAGCCGGAGGCAGCTGCTTAACCAACTGAGCCACCCAGGCGTCCCTAGAAAAACATTTTCAAAGGAACTTCATTTCCATTAAAATAGTTTAAGGACACTCAGGGATGAAGAATGAGGAGGAAGAGAGTGAGATATAGCCTATCCCTAGGGAATGGATGGAGAATTTCAAACTGTGGTAAAGAAGGAACAAGACCACCAAAGAAGAAAGCACTATCCTAGATACAGAAAGGAGGAAGAAGGGAAACAATTACATAGAGAATTGCTGCCTAGAACCAGGGAGGAGGAAGGTAGTATAGTTTCGAATGTCACTTCTAGATGTTGGAACGTTATGGTTTTCTTTTGTAATAATGATGTGATGAACCAAACTTTCTAGTACTCTTTCTCCTTAAATCATAAGAAGCCTTCCCTCACTCTTCTGTGTACCATGTCTGTGGTAACCATGGCAGTCTTAGTTCTCTGTAGTGAGGATCTAGTTGGGATGTTTCTTTTTTACCAGACAGTTCAAAACTGGGTATCTAGAAAAGAAGAAACATGGTTAGTCATTAAACCAGCGTTTACTTCAACCAAAGGACCTGAATGTGAGTCCTGCCTTTTATCACAGCGATTAAATGTTTTGCTAAAGAGTTGTGGACAACCATTTAACCCCTCTAAGTCTTGGTTTCTCCTTCTACAAGATGAGAATGGCACTACCTACCTTCCCTCTTTTAGCTGGAAGACCAAATGGCATTTGGTCAAATGGGATGCCATTTGGTCTTCCAGCTAAAAGAGGGAAGGTAGGTAGTAATATATGGTCAAGTGCTTAGGAAAGTTCAGGGTAAGGGCTCACCTGAAGCTAGAAAGGTTTTTGTCAGACAGCTTCCTCGGAGTGGTACCTGTGACGGAGTTTATGCCAATGGAATGCGCAGAGGGGTTTGTTTAATGGAGTAACATTGGCAAATACAACCCTGCAGAGACCAGCTTGACAGGTGGCTTTCTAACTTTCTTATGGCTAGCTGTAAGCTGCCAAAACTTAACAGGAAAATCCAAATGTACTAAACAGTATTTTTTGAAGACCGTATTTTTATTTATATGTACAATCATGATTGAAGTCTCCTCTTCACAGATTTTACCAACCTCATGTTATGTCTTTTCTTCCCCTTACAGATGAACGGGACAAAGTTCAAAAGAAAACGTTTACAAAATGGATAAATCAGCATCTCATGAAGGTCGGTTAATATTATTTTCACATCATGGAATTGTTTAGCATACTTTTAATTTATTGTGCAAGAATTGATTGTATGGCTCTGAAGCATAGCTTTTCAACAGCAAATTGAAAATTTAAATTCTAGAGCATTTGACATGCATTTTAGTTATCTATAATTATCTGGTGTGTGGCCTGTGGGTAATGATGAAGGCGAGAAGATAAGTACGTGGTGATTATAGTGCACTCTGTGACTTAGTTAAAACCCATTATTACTGGACTCAGTAAAAAGTCTTAGCATATAAGAAGTATGTAAATATTTATGTATTAGGGCATGGAAAGACTTCAGTTCTCAGTAAGATTTTTTCTCTCTCAAGATTGAAACCAATTTCTGGTATCAGATATATATGTGGATGGCAGAGGGTTATATGGGAAAAAGGTGGATTATAGAGACAGATGTCTAGAGTTCTTTAACTTCTTGTACTTGGTATGACCTAGATATTGGTGCTTATGTGTACATTTCTCTGTGTAGTAAATAGTCGTGGTTCTGAAATTAATATTTCTTTGTGTGCTCTGGGACACTTTGAAGATCTCTTATAAGCTCTCCAGAAAAATACACATACACATAAAATTTGCATACAATTTCATGGAGTTATTGGTTCCCACTGAAGCCCTTCTATAAATCTTAGCTAAAGCACCTATATGACTTCACAATGAACTATTAATCAGTTTTTTTCTCCCTCTTATGGATAGTCCTCAAGTTGGAGACAGGTAACGTTTTAAGTCTGCTGTTTGGGACTTAGAAAGAATTTTCTCATAAAGAAACATTATTTTAAATGAGGTTATATTCTTAAGCTACTCACAAATCCTATTTAAAGCATCATGTAACAAAGGAGTACCAATAATGTGCCAATAAAGTACAATAAAGCATGTAATAGCCTTCTATAAAAGTGGTTCTCATTTCAAGGGGCATATCAATATCACCTGAGAGATGTTTTAGTCCTCTCGCTTTCTCTACCCATTGACAAAATCCTTTTCCCAAATTCTGATGTATCCTTCAGGCAGGCAATGTCACCCACTCTCCAACTGAGAATCATTTCTGTAGGGAGCTTCTGGTACTGCTGGGAGCTGAATCGTTTGTATTTTGGCAAGAGATAAAAGGTTGAGACACAGTGCTTTGTGGTGATTTTGTGAGGAAATATATTGTGAATACTAATGAAGGATACCAACAGTTTACCTACTACCCTCTTCCAATCTTCTGTCTCATCACACACATATTGTGAGTAGGACTCTTCCACAGGATGGGGCAGAGATGATGGGTTGATGTGAGGGCTGTGGTATGAAACTTTGGAGTTGGAGTCTCTGACAGGAGTTCCCCATTTCTGAGGTGAATCCAAGGGAAGCAGAGTTTGTGATGCAGAGTTTCCCCTTTGGTAGCTGATGCCCTAGCAATCTTTGTAACTGTGGCTCTCTTGGTGGGGCATGTTAGGGGACACGAAGAATTGCCCCATGTCTTCTGGAGCGCAACTGCTATGGTTCCAACTGTTGCCAGTGAATACCAGAGAGAAGTAGAAGCAGAAGTGAGGGTGACCCCCATAGGAACTGTATCACTGGCTATTTATTGGGGGCCTACTGTGTGCCAGGCATGTTGGACTGGACTGTTCATCTTTTGAGTAGTTCATAAATTGAATGGTCGAGTAAAAGGAGACTTCCTTTGCTGAAAATGTCAAAACACTATTTGAGCTGCTTGAGGACAAAAGCTATATTATTTATACAGTGCCTGGCAAGAGTATTCTCACTGTGTGTAATATACATTGCATACATTAAATCATTTAATTCTTTTAGCAACTACCCAAGGTGGTTTAATTTAGTGGTTCAAAGTCAGACAGCAAGCATTCAAAGCTTGATTTACCTGGACTATGTTACTACTTTTTTTTTTTTTTTTTTTTTTTTTTTTTTTTTTTTTTTTTTGATAAAATGACAGATCTCAAGATTTAAGGCTTACTTCTGCTGCATCGCAGTAAGAATTGGGAAAATATTTTATGCAGAACAGCCATTAGATACCAATTCAACTGCTTAGGGTTGTAATCAAATTGGCTTATTTGTTTCTTGAAGTATTTTATAGTGTCAGAGTTTAAAGTTAAGTCTTATTAAAATGAGGAGTCACTGGAGGGAGTGGAGGAAAGCTAGACAGTAGAGTCTTGGCTAACTCCCACTGTCGGTTGCTTACATTCTTGTTCTGTTTTGCTCTAGTGTCAGCTCAAAGTTGTCTTCCCTTATAATCTTAAAAATTGTGCACCGAAATCTCTGGCACAAAACTCAAATATGTGAGAACATAATTTTTAAACCTTTCATTCTTTTATGTCTGGAAGTTATAGCTTTAACCTCAAACATTTAGAGGCACCAGGCTGTTAAGGTTTATGTTGTTATTAGTTAACCAGAGAAAGGGCAGGCTTCATGTGATCTTTTCAATGTTTTGCTCAAGTGATAGAAAAAGGAATGTGGCACTATGTAGTCAGCCTCTTTCCTTTCACTAAAAAAAGTGCTGGACTCTTTTGCCCCAGGTGGCCATTGGTCGTAATCCCATTAGTGGGAAATACAATATAAATATGTGAATTTTAAATAAAAAATTTTAATATTAGAAAGTAATATTTTTTTCTGTATTGATTTTCTTATGTTCTTCATTGAAATGTTGAACATCTTCAAGGGAGAAACAGAGAAAGGAGAGAAGTGGGTCCCATGTCTTTTTTACCTTACCATATTCCTTTTTAAAAGTTTTTTTTTTTTTTTTAAGATTTTATATATTTATTTGATAGAGAGTGAGAAAGAGAATGACAGGGGAGAGGGTCAGAGGGAGAGGCAGACTCCTCATGGAGCTGGGAGCCCGATGCGGGACTCGATCCCAGGGTTCCAGGATCGTGACCTGAGCCGAAGGCAGTCACTTAACCAACTGAGCCACCCAGATGCCCCACCATATTCCTTTTTAATGAATGAGAGTTATGTTATTTGAAGAGTTTTTAATAAAATGGGATCATAGGAGAGGATGGCTATGACAAATAACTCAATAAAATGAAAATGAGTAAAGAGAGAAAAAAAATGAGAATGAAATCATTTAGATAATTGGATAATTCTGTGTGTTTTCTTTATGTTTTATCCATTTTAACTATAGTAACAAGTAGTCTTTAACCCATGGGGAAAGGAGGGGGTTGAAGGGGAAATCTAAGAGAAGAGAGTAAAGAGGTGAGAGAGGAGGTTAAAGGGGAAAATATAGGAGGAATGGTTGTCTTGTACACTAAGGGTGCTCTCACACAGCCCCACAATTGTGCCTTAGGATGGCCCCATGGGGTTTAGGGTCTAGAGACTCTGCTCTTGGCTCAGCTTCTAGGGAGTGCTGACCCCAGCTAGGGATGTGTTTCTCATCTTCTTACAAATTTTGCCCTTTCTAAATTATTATTTTATTTATTTTAAAATAATATTATATAACTATTTTACCCTATTTTTTCCAGCAGTTTTGTCTCCAGGGAGAACTGATCTTAGTAATTCTGCTGCTTTGGGCAATGAGGCCATTGAGAAGTTTAGTCCTGGAACAGATATGACTTTGCTGAATTTTTTCTTTTCATTTTACAAATTATATATTTTGCTAAGTTAGAGCAAATTGTCTTTGAAGAAGAATGGCTCCCAAAGTTATTAGTCTGTGGCATGTGAACCAAAGATGGGAGGCAACACGAGGTCAGACAGGGCTTGTGTCCAGGCTTTACAGTTTATTATTCATGAGACCTTAATCTTCTTAGGCTCTCATCTGTAAAACGGTGGCAGTGATAGGTTAGTGTGAGGATACAAAAGAGATAATCCAGTTAAACATAAAATATGTTAATTGGCACATTGTGTATGTTGTCTCAGGAACCCTTCTCCTCTCTCATCCAAATCCCTTTTCTTACCTCAGGTACTTTCCCTTTTATTTATTTATTTTTTTTAAAGATTTTATTTATTTATTTGAGAAGGAGGGAGAGAGAGAGAGAGAGAGAGATAGCAGGAGAGAGCACCAGCTGGCGGGAGAGGGAGAAGCAGGTTCCTTGCGAGCAGGAAGCTTGACCTGGGGCTTGATCCCAGGACCCTGAGATCATGACTCGAGCCAAAGGCAGAGTCTTAAAGAACTGTGTCTCTCCCCCCCGCCCAGCCTGGTGCCCCAGTACTTTCCCTTTTAGTAGAAAAAGCTGCGATTTAGGTTCAGAATCTGTAGAGGTAGTAGATTGGCCTGTTGCCTTCTTGCCTTCGTGTCCTACTGGGACACAGAAGAATTATTTATTTGAGGTAATCCTGTTGGCCACACCCTCCTCTCCTCTGTATGCATTGCTCTGCAGTCATTTATGAGTTGACTTTGGGGCCCAAAAGTCTTTCTGGTTCCTCTTTTCCCTCTTCTCCCACACACTCTCTTTGCAGAAAGGGAATCAGTGCAGGCCCACCAGACTTCTGAAAGGTTGGCCATTTTTATTCCTCAGTTGTGATTGCACTTAGATTCACAGCTGGAGGGCATAGTCCACATCCTCCAATTTGCTTCCTTCCTTTACAGAAGGGAGAACTTTACTGGCAGAACTGTAGTACATGTCCTGAAATGGGAATATAAATTAGAACAGGGACTGTATCCAAAGTTTGGTTTCCTCATGCACTGGGATGGGTTGCAGATCTGCCATCAGGGTCCCCTTGGCTAATAGGCTGTGTTTACTTTTCTCTACCTGCACTGTTAACTGCTCATCAATTACTCCCCGTGCTTTAGGAAGTTACAGTTTATGCAGCTGCAGAATAGCGTAGACCAGTGCTTAGGGCATGATTTTAGCATTGTCAGTTTTTACAAGTTTATATGACTGAGAAAAGTAAACATTGTGGAGTTTTTAAATGACGGCTTAAATTACTATTATATCCATACGTCTAAACATTTTTTTCCTTAGAATATTTGGATAGAGTATTTTTTGGGGGGGAGAAAAACTGTATTAAAAAATAATATAGCCTCATTTCATATTCACAGAG